GATCATAGGGGATTAAAGATGTTGTAAATGATCTTTCAAAATTGTCTTCTACAGGATCGATCACCATATGCTCGGCTCTCACAGCTGTGCAAGGTACCATAGTCTGTCCTGTACATTGGGTCTGACCGTCATTATCCTGGCCTTCCACATAGTCTTAAGTATTAGTTAGTAGAAGACAATGAAGAAAATATTAAAAAGATAGATACTAAGATTCTAATAAACTTTATAAAAATAAAAATAATATAATATAGCAGCTAAATAAATAACCTCTGTAATTGCAAGTATTAGAAAACTATAATGTATTATATAAAACTAAGTTAGCTGTATATAAAATATAAAAGATTTTAATAAGTATTCTATTAAAAATAAAGTAGTTCTAAGATTTTGAAGACATCAAATATTTTGGATAAATGTAACTTTAAAGATGTCACTATAATACAAGTTTGAATTATATATACAGAGAATTTAAATAGATAAAACTTATAGTTGACATACAAGTATAATATTTGGTATAAAATTTATAATAATATATAAATAGAATACTTAAATTAAACACCAAAAAGTACATATATAACTAGTTGTAACCTTCTATGTATAAATGCTCTTAAATGCATCTATGTTCAAATAACTTGAATAAAAATATTAATTTCTAAAAACAGAAACTTTAACTTAAAAAAAAATAACTATTAATAATATACTATATTAATAATCTACTTTGTAATATAATTTAATTAACAAATATAAGAATATTAAAACTATTATTTTTTAAAAAATTTATATATACAATTTTTATAAATTTTAAGTTTACAATTTGAGTTTGTATTTGTATTTAATAAAAATTTAAACATTTATATAATTATAAATACAAAAAACTTAATATAGACTTAAGTATAAAAATTAAATGTTTATTATTTAATTGTATCTAACACTTTGCTTAGCATTTGCATTTGGTACTTTATATTCAATATTTTGTGCCTATGTCTTTAATAATGCCTACCATTTTTGTGATATAATATAAGACACTAATGCCTGATCTAATGCCAATGTATTAGGTATAAGCATTTGCAAACTTCTAATATGTTTATAACTTTTTGTACATTATTATTATACATAAAATCCACACTTTATAATTAGATTTTCTTTTAAAAAGTTTTTTATAAATTGTATTTGCACTTAAATTTTAAATTACAGAACTTTATATTTAATTATTAATTTTATAAGTTACAAAAACAAAATTTAGTTTTGCTTTTAGCTCATCTTAGACCATTGACCTTGTTTGTAAAAGTTTAAGAACTTAACCACTAAGTTACGAAAACTAAATCTTTTTTTTTTAATATTACTATTTTTTATTAATAAAAATTAATATAAACTATTGGAATTTTGGTTAAGATTTAAAATTAATATCAAAAAAATATAGAAATATTAATTTCTTATAATTTTGAAGATTTAAATTAAACTCTTGTATATAAGAATAAATTCAAAAAAAAATTCAAATGATAAATAATAATTTTCTAACTATAAGAAGGCACCTATAATTTACGTTAAACCAGTATTGTTATCGGGATCTTAAAGATAATGTAAAAATAATATCATATGACATTACTTACAAGATCCTATTTTTATACAATATACGTAGTACTGGTTTAACGTAAATTATAGATGCTCCTTAAGTTAAAATTAAATTCGAATTCTTTAAAAACTCGAGTACAATTTAGAATTCTAATACAACTTATGTTTATTCAAAAACAACCTAACACTAAGTAGATTCTAAAATATACAATAAATCCATTCCGATGTACAGTATGTGCAACATGTAATATGTATTTTTACTAAGAGCATTATATATTAATTAGCTAAATTTTTAAGATAATGCATATAAGACCATTATTTATATATAATTATTGTATCTAGGAGACTATTGAAATATTAGACCATCACACTTCAGAATCACGTTTCACAATCACTTTCATCAAAAAAAAAAACCTTTTTCTCATACATATTTGGTTAATAACTTGAGGAATTTTCTTGAACCCTTTTTAACCCTTTTTTGGACGCGTGAAATAAGTGGTGAAACAAAAGAACGTGGACCGTGACCATTTTTCAAGTTTCAAACTCATGTAAAAATACGAAAATGGGTACCATATACGAGACCCGGGTCTGTTACATTCCACCGAATTTATAACCTATAATAAACGCGGGGTATAGTACATAGCCGAGCGTTTATATTGTAACAAGAAAAAAAATTTAAGTGCATACATGCTTTGCATTCATAATAAGAAGTCTCTAAGTTTTTTGAAAAAATCCATATTTAATTAATAGAGATCTTGTAGGGTCTACTATCAAAGGGGATCTTATATACAGTACCGGCAATAAACATGTACAAAAAAGAGGAAACATATATTAATTAAAATACAAAAAAAAAAAAAAAAGTGATTCATATAAAAAGTTCATCTATATATTGTAGGTTTAGAATCCAAGTTTATACGAAATTTAAAAGCAACTCAAGTTGATAAATTTGATACTGTAATAATCAATAAATTTAACAGCGGCTTAAGTTGATTTTTAAATTTGATACTATAATAAATTTAATCGATTAACGTTACTATAACGATAATTAAAAAAATTAAATCATATCGTCATTATTAAGTTGTCAAGATAAAATATAAATTTTTTTACTACTTTCTTATTCCAATTTTTTTCATTCTTTTTCATTCTTTGCAAAATTCTTTATCCGAATTTCAAGATTGTTCATTTTTGCCTCATAATGCATTCTAAGAAGATTCTCGAAGTTTTGAAGAATTAAACAAATAAACTTAGATACAAATCCGGTTGGCTTAAGGCATGTATAGGTTTAGACACTCATTTCTTGTATTTTTCCTTTTTTTGCTTCGCCAGGCTGATCCGTGTAAACAATTTTGATTGGTCATAGATATCGGAAAATTTCGTGATGTACCTGACTTTAAGCGACCCCCAAAATTAGAGTACAAAAACATAGTAATTTTCTATAACGGACTTTTTTTCAAAATCTTAAGTTCGTTTTTGAAAGAGTTGACTGTAGCTCAAAAGCGTTCGAGACATGTCTACTATACAATTCTCTTCACAAGTAGATAATATTAAATGCAAATGCAAAATGTAATACTTTTAAATGTAAATATTATTTTAAATCCAAAACAAAGTACTCGATAAAATAGTTTGGAATATGCTTATCGTAAGTTGAATTGGAATTCTTTAACGATTCTTAACACATTTTAGAATTCTATTATAATCTATATAAAGAATATTTAAAAAAGTATGTATAAACGAGTTTATCTAATCTATTTGACGTATTTAACAAAAAAGTTCTATGAATTATATGTAATAATAACGGTTGTATAATGTGTATATATGCACTATTAAACTCATTCTCATCATTAAATCATCTTTAACGAAATGTCAATTTAATTGTTTGTCGTCACTCGACTCAGTTCATAGACATTTATTAGGCATTACCGTGATTGGTGCTTTATGTCATGTGCCGTGAGTGATACGGTACGTACGTGACAAACGTAATTCGTAAGAACCTTTATTCTGAATCTCGAAAAAATTTTCGCGATTAACCTAAAAGAAGAAATATAACATAGCATATCAGTTCATTTACTGTATAAAGAGGAACGGTATTTAGAACCCTTTTAAACGCTGTTGCTAATCTCTATATAACTTCATGTGTAAAGTTTCTGAATTTTAATTTATCTTAAAACGGTTTCTTTTTTTTTTCCTAGAATTAATAAGTCTGCTGGTAATGAACTGTCTAGGTTAATGCTTAAGATATGTTTAACTTTGCTTTATTTAAAAATGTTTCTGGGTCAGTATATATATGTTATAAGTGGAAACGGGGATTTAAGTAAATTTAGAATTTTTATATCGATATATATTTCAAACGTATGTAATTAAAAATATATTGCGCATATATTTCAAATGAAATAGTATGTAACACTCATCTATTATTAGTCTATCGAACGGAATCTACTTAATTACTTTTTAAATTTATAATTTTAAGCTGAAATACACATATTTAGAAATTTTAATACGTCGAATGGTTTTAAATTAGACGTATCTTTCAGTTTTAAACTAAAGTTCATTAATACAATTGTTAATATTTTTATCGCTACTTGTCTATCTATCCTTGAGAGGAACCAACGACTATATTTGTTTGTAAATTATTAAATTGTTTTTATACGTATCGGTATGTGTTTAGGTGTAAAATTAAGTAATCAGTATTTATAAACTTTGGCCAATCAGGTATTTAGTTGAAACTACGTAACGGTAATTCTATATTATCTAACTTGGGTTACGAAGTCGTTCTAACTAGATCAGGTCAAACTTTTTAAGAACCGGATCAGAACTAGACTGAACCAAGTTTCTAATATTCCTTAAGCATATATAACACTTAAATAAACTTTGCAACATTTATACTCAACATATGGATGGTACTTTACTTGCACGACATACTACATACGGCACTTGCGGCACTTACGGTGCTTATACGGCATACGACACCTATACAGCATACAGTACTTATACGGCACTTCTACTTTATACGGCAAATGTGCCGTACTGCCGTTGTAGTTGTGCCGAGGGTAGCTACCCCTCAAGATTTTAAATGTCTGCATCTCTACTTTCAACATCTGAAGCGCTGGGTGTTGGCATTGATGCCAAGTCATTATTTATATCGGATACAGTGGAATCAGATGTAGAAGATGGATGTTGTAATTGTTGTTGCATAGTAGATAATGCTCGCTTCCTTGTAATTTTTGCAAAGTCTACAAAATTTTTTTTTTTTTTTAGAAAAATTAATAGTTATGATCACGTGATAATACAATATATTTGAGGGTAAAGTGAAACTCACGAAGTCCACATGCGTTGCACAACGTTCTAGCACCATCAGGGCCACGACGCCATTCAGGAGTTTCTGAGATGTTGCATGAATGGCATCTTCCTGGTGGGGCGGCACGCTTCTAAAAAATTTCATACATCTACTTCAGTTAAAAAATCACTAAAATATTTATATATCATAAATGACTTACGCTTCTTTTTCTATATTTTGAACGTTGTGAGGCCATATCAGGGCGCTGTTTTCTATTTAGGTCAAGTAAATCATCGTTACCAGAATTTGAAGGCTATAAATAAATAAATATAAATAAATGAATAAATAAATAAATAAATATATATATATATATAATTAATGTTATAATTAAGGAAAGTTATTACATACATCAGAATTTCTTGAAGTAACTTCATTCTTTAATCCAGTCAAAATATTTAGTACATCGTAAGCTCTATTTATTATATTTGTCAATTGAACTTCATTAACTTGAAATGTAATAGAATTCCATGAACCTTGGTTAAGGTGCACGTCACGATACTGAGAGGCAAACTGAGAAATTTGACTACAATGGTCGACGACCTAATAATAATAAATAATAAAAACAAATATAATAATAATAAATATGATAATAATATGATAATAATATGATAATAATATGATAATATAATGCATAATAATATATTAATATATGAAGACAATTCTTACTTTTCCCAATTTAACCAAAGGTGGTTCAGTAGTTTGAACATAAGGAGATTCAGAATTATCTCTACTTAAGTAAGAACCATATTGAGGATAATTAGAATGCTGTGGTGGTGGAACAGGAAGACTATAACCGAATCGCGTCGCCTGTTGATGGTCATATAAGTATGGTGGCGGCGGTGGTGGTGGTGGTGGTAGTGAGTGAACATGAGATGGTAAAGGTTGTTGATAATGATAAGGTTGTTGATTCTTGATAGGCTGCCAGGGTTGTCGTTGTGATGCAACCGGTGTTGGTGTACCATAAGAGTTTGAATTAATTGACGGTAAAGAAGGACCATAGGAAAATTTTCCTATTGTAGACCGAGAATGTATGTCATCAGTCATCGAAACTTGACTCGATTCATGATAACCAGGATAATTTTCAATTTTATTTAAAGAAGATAATTGAGATCTCGTTGAGGAGGAATTTTGCAATGAATGGTTAGGTTGATTAGGAGTGATCGGAGTGTTATGAACGGCAGGGGTTAAACCTTGCTGCGGCGGCTTTGAGAATTGTATCGAAGAAGGTAAGGGAATTGTCGTATCATGCAGAATTGACGTCAAAGGTGGAAGATGTTGACCCCCTTTTTCGTTCATAGGTTCAACAATTCTATATAATGAATAAAAATTTAATGATAAAAAAAATAAAATTTATTATCCGATAGCTTACTAATCAGAATAACTCGAGTTATTTTGGTGGTAATTACATATCACCAAATAACTAAGTTATTTGTAATTTGTAATTACCATCAAAACAACTCGAGTCATTCCGATTGTCCAGTTGTCGTAAGTTATCGGATAATACCGTTATTGAATGCTACGCACTAATAACTTACTTATCTGGCTTTAAATTTAACGTATCATTTCTGGGCCCAGCAGCTGGCATATTAAATTTAAAACCAGATAATGGAGTATTTTTATAAATAACTATAAATTATTTGATGAATATATGCGTTTAAAGATACTTACGGTGGTGATGGTAAACTACGAACATGTTCGATTGAAGAATTAGAAGTTGGGAACTCTGGAATTTTCTTTGGTGGAGGATGACCAATCGGTGGCAAAGAACAAATCGAATTCATATCCATTATATTCAAACCTCGAACGAAATTTCGTACTGAAATTTAAAGAATCAAAATATGTACATATCTGATATAATAAATAAAGTTCGAACTCGGAAAAGATGCATACCAAACTACAACCAAATTCTTCGAGAAGTATAACTGATGATATTATATATATACTATGAAATCAACTATAGGCAATTATTTAGTTATGCAACGATACGATACGATACGATACGATACGAGAGAAACAAAGGTTTTTTTTTTTATCTAGAGAACTAATGTAAATGAAAACAAAGACGCTCGCCAAGTATCTCGCTAAGTAGTTCGCCAAGTAATAATAATTATTTGAAAGAAGGCTGTATAATAAGAAGTGGTAAAAAACTTCTCAGCAAGGGGGGAAGAGGTTATTTATATACTAAAATAATAAATCGTTAACCGATATTATACTGTATTTGATGATTGAGCATTCATCGATGCAGATAAACAACCATATTCATCATTCATTCATGTATATACACGATTTGCAATGAATAGTGATATTTTAGTGGTACAATGAACGGTCCAGATTTGTTCTTTAATGTAATTATGTTACAATATATTGTAAAAGAAACCAAAGTATATATAAAGCAAAAATAGCTCAAATGTTGACACATTTGTACACTGTATAACGTGTATAACAGTGATATAGCTGTAATTATTCGACTATGTAGAGAAAGTGATTTATTAATTTGAATCACTCTTGTGACCATTTCCAATTTAGTGACTTTATGCATTCTCATTCAGAAATCACTCTATTCCGCGATCTCACGATTCAATGTACGTACGTACCAAATCCAAATTTAGACAAACAGATTATATACGTACGTGCTTAAATAATGCAAGTGGTATCTTATGTTTCAATTCTAACCTTGACGAATCGTTTACTTTGCGCATATCACTTGCATCTACCGTACGTAGCAAACGTTAAATTTACAACCGTTATCGAAAAGATGCATAATTAAAAATCTTATCTTTTTTTAAATATCGACCTGCATGCCTGCGCATTTAAGATACTGATATTTAATCACATTTACCGATTAAATTTTAATACCTGACACCAACCGGACACGGAAATTAATATCAGCAATCAATCTTTTTTTAGTTCATTTATGAAGTTAAGTGTGTGCGTGCGTACGTACCTACCTATTTACGTACGTATGTACATATTATCTCTTATTTATCTCACATTTCACATCTCATATCGATATCTCACATTAATCCAATCTTAGTTAAGCTATTAACGTTAATCTATAAAAGCGATCATGTACCTTATGACGATCTTGAACGTTTTGAACATTTTGAACATTTTAGATAATTATTATAATGATACCGATAGTCAAAACTAAATGCGTGGTGTACCCGATGATCGCCCTCTGCACAGTGTATATCCGATATCGTGTGGAACATGTTAAAAGCTCGTATGATTTTTGAATTAGTATGGAAAACATGATAATTGGATGTCCAATAATATGTATAATGTGCATATACAGATAATTCACGCTTGTACGAACTTGTGAGTGAATAATAGTCAGTTGAGCTCGACCATACCTATTTTAAAAATGTCAATTTTAAATGTCAATTGTCAATTTTAATGTTTAATGTTTAATGTTAAAAATAGGTTATAAACTGTTAAATAAAATAAAATAAATAAAATAAAATAAATAAATTGTTAAATAAATTGTTAAATAAAATGTTAAATATATGCTGTGACACTACGTATGTTGAGACTTGAAAAACTTATTTCATCGTTATTACGTAGTGTGCTATTCAAACTTATCGCTCTACGTTTATGTACGATGTTGCTTACGTAGATATGAGATCGACAATCTTATGCCGTAAACCGCATTTATTTGGTCATTTGCTCTTTTATACATACGTACATAGCTAAAGTAGACTGTTAAATAAAATGTATGTACACGTATGTACATACGAACCAAAGAAGTCAAGTCATGTGTTGCTAAAACAATATCAAAATATATATTAAGTAAAATATATTGTAATTAATCATTATACATAGTTACGTCTTGGAATTATTTTCACTATTCGATAAGATCTATTTCAAATTTTGTGAACAATAGTGATAGCAAATACCACATAGATTAACTAATGCTAATCCATAAATGTTTAAATCTGCCTAAAAAGGATGCGATGATAATTTACAGATAAAGTAAAAAAATTTTTAAAATGGTTCAGGTTCTTGGAATAACGGATCGAGTAACCATTAAGTGTACTGCATAAGTCACGTGAAATTTCTATGTAACTACTCACGTGATTGCTGATACTAATCTCGGCAATTCCGTAACCACCTATTGTTTACACAACAATGAGAATTCAAATAATATAAAGACACTTTTGGTTCATCATGATAAGCTATTATCGTAAACGCCCTTTGACGTCATTTTGTAAATCATCTTCATGTCTAAATAGTAGTATGTACGTACTTATCTTTAATTTTTCAAACTTTGATGTTTGGATCTTTTTTGATTTGTAGATTTGGGATGTTACAAAGGTTTGAAAAAAAACATTATCTTACACAGAAACAAAGTGTTATGCACAAATTTGGTATATTATATTTTTTATTTTTTTGTAATTTTAATCAAATATTAATATTATATATAAAGTATATATACTTTTTATAAAGTTTAGTTGATTTATACTTATTTTTTTGTATATATTATTTTTTAGCCTATAAGCAATTTTAAAATTTACACTATGTTATATTGAAACTATAACAAATTTTAGTTAATTTGTAATAGAATTAATATATATATATATATTAACATTGAAATAATCCTTTTAATTATATATATTTATTGGTATTTATATGCTTATTATAATAAAATTTTGTTACAATATATAGTATATTATATATTTGAAGAATACAATTAATTATATATATAACTTTTGGTTATTTAATTACATAATTTATTTACAAGTTCTATACTAATTAACATATTTATAATCTAATTAAAAGGTTTTTTTTTTCAAAAAGCAATATCGTAACTCTTTTCGCTGATCTTCATAACCAAAATCGGAACAGAAAGAAAGCTATAAAAAACACAAAAACTAGTAAGTAAAAGCACTGTTGTCAACTAAGCAAAGTTGAAGCTAAAGAGAAATTAGATAAAGTTTATTAGAATAGTAAACCAAGCTGACAACAATATAGTAGCTAGTCTCGACTTTTAGAGAAAATTTTGCTCTTTGATGATAATTTTTTGTCAAAAAAAGAAAATACACAAAAATCCTGTATTGCAGATTATACACGTGACATGTAAATCAAGACGGAGTAAACAGTAAACACAACAAAACAAATAAACAGACACACAATCTCGTAGATAAACAAACAAATATAGATACATATAGTAAGACACGTGTTAAATTTATACAGATAAGATATAGATATAATGCATAGAAGTGTAACACAAAAAGTTCAAGCAGTATCTACAGAAATTGATTGGTGCAAGAAATTAGAAAAGTATCATAATATGTTTAACAAATCTGACAGAGTACAGAAAAAATTATTAGATAGTCATAAATCAAGAGTATTAAGAAAAGATGAAGAATTGGCCAAACTAGTTGGCACTAAAGCAGTTTTAGTTTGTGTGTTTAGAAATCTAATTAAAGTGTATAATTACTGCAAGTATATATGAGTGAGAGATAGTGAAAAACCAATAACGAATAGTACAGAGCAATTAAGAGAAGACAAAGAAAAGAAAGAGATATTGCTAAAACAAGAATGTGGATGCATAGATTATGGCACACTAGAGAAGCAAGCAAGAAAGAGCTTAGTAATAGAACATAAAAAAGAAAAAGAAGCAAAGATAGAAGAAAATAAGCAGTGAAAGAACATAGCCAATGATATAGAGACAAGCAAGAAACACAAGATAGATGAAATAGAAGTAAAACACAAAGAAGAAAAGAAAGCTAAAATAACCACAAACAGTGAACAAATACAAAATGAACAAATAAAAGAACAAAGTTATACAGAGGAATTAACAAGAATGCATGTAGATAGCAAGTTAAAAGACAATATTTATACAATGTGGGACATCCTAGTAGATATAAGACCAGCACGGGTTAGAAAATGTCTTCAGTTTTATAGTAGAATTAGGTTCATTCAGTGGAAAAGTTGTGGTAATAGCAAAG